ATTCATTATTTATGCCATTTACGGGGTTTTCAAGCTTGGATTGCAATGCAATGCAATGCAAGTTGTGCCTGTCTTCAAACTTGAGATGTAAATATTGTTATGATTGTTTAGAGCATCGGATTGTATATTTTTACGGTGTCTTCAAGCTTCCTCTGAGGTTGAGGGTAGAGAGGATATATACTATATATATTTTAGAGCTACGAGTTGTGTCTGTCTTTAGAGCTACGGTTTACAACACATTATGGTGATGATGATGACTGTCGATATGAGCATCTTAGATAATCATAACTTCGGTGGAATTGGATTCCACGACATGTATGAGAAGTTGCATATCAAATATATGATGTGTATTGTTTACTTGTTACACATGTACTTTATTTGTAGTGTTCTCCATTCAGAATCATAGCTATGTACTTTTACATAATTGGATAATAAAACACATTCGATGTCTTACTGTAGATGTAGGTCTTTGACTGAACTACATATTTCCTTTGTGTTATTATTATTTTTTTTTTAGCAAATTTGGACACTGTTGTTGGTTCATTTTATGGATGTTGGTTTATTGATTCATGTTTTTCTTATAATGGCATAGACATCTTTCAACTCTTGTTGGTTAGTTTGGACAATTTTTTTATGCTTGTTGAGTTACAATATGAATTTCTTTATACAATATGCAATTCTTCATATAGTTCCATAATTGTTAAGACAAATGAAGGTGGTCCCTCAGCGATGTGGGATAAGGAAGTTAGAATTATTTTCTACAACCTCTGCATCACTAAGATTGAGATCGGGAATAGACCAACGACCTATTTCAACAAGGAGGTTGGCTGAATATAGCTAAAAGGTTTACGGAACTGACTGGAAGAGATTATGACAGGCTGAAGTTTAAAAATAAATGGGATCAACTGAAGAAAGACTAGAAAATTTGGAAGGAGCAAACATATATCCACGGGGTTGGGTTGGGATCCAATTAAACGAACAATTTATGCTTCAGATGAATGGTGGGCTGAGAAATTAGAGGTAAAATTCTTATTAATTACTTGTCAATTACATTTATTTTCAATTAAAATGATTACCCCCTATACCCCCACTGCATTTTATTGTTATAGGCAATGCTGAAAGCAAAAAAATACTAGCAGATTGGAACTGATCCAGATCTTGAAGATAAAGTTGACATAATGTTTAAGAGGGTGGTGGCAATTGAAAATCATGCATTGAGTCCTAGTAAGATGTGATTTGCAGGAATACCCGATGATTTTCCACCAGAGCTGGTGGCAGTTGAACAAGAAATACACAGCGTTAAACAGAGGGAGATGGGGGAATCAAGCTCACAGATGAAAAGCCGCATGCTAGAAAGAAGAAATAAAGAAAATGATATTTTTGTGAGAACTTCATTGGACAGACTCATAGATGTTTTTGGAGCACCATCGCCTGCTCCACTACCTGACAACACTATCTTCGGTTGTCTTCGCACTTTGAAAATCATCCCTGAAGTTGTAGCGGATAAGCACTTTCATGCAATATGTATGAAAAAACTTGAGGATCCAACACGTAGGCACATATTTATGGCGATGGAACCAGAGTTGCGAGTCAAATATTTACGTTTTATTGTGAATGATTGAGATCTTTATGTGTTTTCAAGAAATGTTTATGTACTATTCAAAGTTATGAACTCATCTGTTATTTGGAATTGTGTTTCTTTTTTAAAATTTACTTTTAGTAGAGCTCTACATTAGCTCTACTTTTTATTCTTAATAACTGAGTGTTCTCATTATTTATTACTTGCTTGCTGGATTGATTAATAATTGATGAAATAACCGAGATCTTTCTTCCTTTAGGATGGACCCACAACATGAGCGTCGTAAGCGAATGACATGGGTTGCAGCTATTGTCATATTACTGTTGGAGTATTACCGATCAAGCAGTGTTCGTATAACTCGAATGACTTCCAGCTTTGTTGGGGATAAATGGGTTGGTGAAATGCTTTCTGGACATCCAATTAGGTTCAGTAACATATTTCGAATGAGAGTACCAATGAGTATCAATCTTTCTGGATCTCTTGCACGAGTTATCCCTCAATCACAGACTCCAAGGTTCTTCGAGAACAACTAGAAGGGAGGTATTGGCTATAACGCTATATTCTGTCACAGAATGAATCAATTAGGGGTGCTTTGGAGAGATTTAAGCATTCATCGGAGACAATAAGCCTTTATTTTTCCAAAGGCATATAAGCACTAATTAGCTTAGTCGCTAAAATCATCAGGTCAGAGGATCCATCATTTGTTAATACTTCAGAACAAGTCGCAGTCGATCCCCGTTACATGTTTTACTTTAAGGTAACCATTCTTTTATTTACTTTGATAACAACATATAAATATTTCCTAACCTTGCAAGCAGAACTAGATAGGTGCAATTGACGGTACTCACGTTGATGCCCGAATACCCAGCCAGGACAAGATGGCTTACATTGGTCGAAGTGGTTCTACTACTCAAAATGTCATGGCGGTATGTGACTTCAACATGTGTTTCACATATTTTATGACGGGTTGGGAAGAGAGTGCATATGATAGTCGAATTTTTGCCTATGCTATGAGAAATAGATCTCAAGGTTTTCCTCATCTGCCTTCAGATATGTTTTGATTTATAAAATTCCAAGTTATAAGTATTTATTGCAAACAACAATATCTTTCATAATTGGAAAATATTATTTGATTGATATTGGATACCCTATGCAGAGGGGCTATCTAAAGCCATATCCAGACATTAGGTATCATATTCCTGATTTTGAGCGAGCAAGTGACACTATCTGTGGTAGGGAAGAAATGTTTAACAAACGCCACTTCTCTTTACGTGGGATAATTGAAAGAATGTTTGGGGTTTGGAAGAAGAAATAGGTCATCCTACGTGATATGTCGTCATATCCATTTCAATATCCATTTCAGAAGCAGGAGCATATTGTGGTGGCAACAATGACACTTCATAACTTCATATGGCGACACCCTTCACGTTCAAATACGGACTTTAGTATGGCTAATAACGAAGACCTAACTGTCTATGAAGAACCATCAGAAATCATGACAGGGCCTTCAGTTCCTGAGGATGAAAATGAATCTAATGAATTTGAAGTTCATGACGCGGAGGGTGTGGCTGAGATGACTACTCTGAGGGAGTATATAATAGATGCTATATATGAAAGTTAATCCAGCAAGTCTTTCTTTTCTTCTTATATATGTAAATCCATCTTTATGTGGATTTTATTTTTTTGGGAATAAGTTCTGACATTCATTTTTTTTTATTTTTCTCGCAGTTAATTTTTTTTATTTTTCTCGCAGTTATACAAACATGACTTCTAGGATATCAGTTACAGACAGATGTATTTTGTGTTATTATGGACTACAGTCTCCGTTGCTCACGTCGCGTCGTCTCATAGCTTTGGGAGGCAGTTCTAAGGTTGTGCCAAGGGTGTTTCAGCTCGTTGCGGTTTCTTTCGGTGGGCTGACAACCCCACCTATTACACTGCTAGCAGCCATGGGGAATCCGATGTTTTCCCATGTTGATAGTGCAGCTGAGGATAGGCGTTGAGGATAGGCGTAGCCAGAGGCTGAGGATAGGCGTAGCCAGAGTTTGAAATTAAATATTTTAATATTTCTCATTGTAGTTGTACTGTCTTTTACCTTTTTTTTATTTTTTTTGTATTCACGAGAGTGTGAGAACTGTATGTCATTTTTTGGAACTGATCTGTATGTTGCTGCACTACATGCTTCTGTACTACCAATAAGTTATTCTGAATAAGCTGCCCCAAAAAGTTTTACCAGACAGAGGCAGAAATGTCATTTAACCACTAATAAGCTAATATGAATACTGATCTGTATGTTGCTGCACTACATGCTTCTGTACTACCAATAAGTTATTCTGAATAAGCTGCCCCAAAAAGTTTTACCAGACAGAGGCAGAAATGTCATTTAACCACTAATAAGCTAATATGAATAAGTTGTCCCAAACAACAAGCCAGATTATTCTGATAATCTATAGATTATCAGAATAATCTGTTTATCAGCAAATTATAAATAATCAACAGCTGTCCCAAACAGATCCTACATTAAAATAAGGCCCAGAAACACGTGCTCTTTGCTTCCAGAAAAATCAACGTACCCATTAGGTCAGTTTTAGTGTATAATTATGCGCATTACTCGAAAATGTAATAACTCGATTTTGCTCAGAGTAAAATAAGCCTTCTATGTCAAAAATCATTAATTTCAAATTAATTACTCTAAAAAATCAGTTTGGTATATATATATATATATATTGATTAATAAATAAATGTTTATTACATAAAATTTAAACTTTTTGCTCAAACCAGCTCTCTTGACTCAAGATTAATATTGTTTATTGGACTTATAAATCAACTTTGTAAAATTAGTAATTTTTTTTTTTCTAATTGATGTTATCGCAAACAGGAATTCATATCACCTCTATTTGTACCAAAAGAGTCCAGACCAGTTTAGGAAGATTTCAACTAGTATACTATCTCTAACACAGAAATAGTTGATACCGCTGTATTTGAGCACCACTATCTTGACCAGATTTTCTAAACAAAAAACAGACCAAGATTAAATTCATCAATCAAAATAGATTACCCGATAAAAAATAAAATAGACTAAATGTGAATCTTATTAGAATTCGAGTTCAACGAAAAATGTGATATGTATATTTTTTAAATTAAACTTTATAGTTTAAAATTAAATTTATGCGGGCTCTACAAATTTACAAACGAAAAAATATAATAAAATTCTTAAAAATTGAAAAATTCACGTAGAATTTTAATAAGTCACAGGATCCTACTGCCCAGTCTAGTCAAAAATCTTGTATACTTTTCACCCTTTAGCACCCCAACTTCAATCCCCCCTTAAATTCCCTTTAGCACCTACAAATATCGGTCGCCCACCAAAAAATTACAAAAAGAGTAAGAAAATTAATTAAAAAAAGAGGGAAATACGAACCGATAAAGTCGACAATGAGGCGGCCGTCGGAATAACGTCCCGAGGGCCGGCCAAAGAAGGTCTCGCCGTTGGGCGCAGGAGCCGGACCGAAGGCGGCGGAGAGGCCGCCGGTGTCGGAGTTTGAATCTCCGAAATTAAAGATAGCCGGGAATGCACACGCCTTCAGCGACGTTGCCGCAGCAGCTGGTGAGCTGGTGAGCAAGAGGATCGGTAGCAGCACAATCTCAACAGAGAAGATGGTGTAGCCGATTCTGTAGCGATAAATCATTGCTGCTATTTTTTTTGTCGTTGAGGGAGGGAGAGGACGCCAATGGCAGCTGCTTTTGCTGGGGCATTCATTGGAGCTGCGTGGGTTTTTAAGGAGGTTTAAAATTTTTCTTAAGATACCATTTTCTCAAAAAAACTATAAAACAATTATTATATTCTTATGGAAGAATCCAAACGAAAATTAAAATTTTGATTTCCTAAATATAAATCTTAATGGAATTTTTTAATTTCTCTCTCTCCCTTTCTCCTGCTGTTTGTGTCTCTCTTTATATGTGTGTGTGTGCGCGCGCGCGTGTGTGTGTATATATATATGCATATCTGTGTGCGCATAATATTTTTTTATTTGGACAGTTAAAATTAGAAGGGTACATTGTCATTCACTACAACTAACTCTATATAATTTTGACAATTTAAGAAGACATGTTCCAACATATTAGCGACCGTGGCAATTGATATGAAATCACAATAATCTAAATGACATAGAATATAACATCAATAGTACAAAATTTTGGGATACTTGAGGCCATGAACTAACTTGTTTAAAGAAACCTAACTGATTATCCATCACTCACATATGCGAGTTGTGTGCATCAGGAATTATGAAAGATCTCAATGGCATATTCACAAGCACCCCAATGAGGGATTTTAATTGTGGTGTTGTGCATTTAATTTGATGTTTGTCAGTTTGTAACATTTAAACTTATAGGCTTACTTCAATCTTTATAGACATTAGTTTTATAAGACATTTATGTTAAATGATTACTTACTATGACATAAATATTAAAAAAAAATGGTTAAATTTCATTATCAGTTTATATCATCATAATATTGATTAAACTTATTGAATTTGTGCCAATGAGATCAATAAAATTATATGTTTGAGTCATAATCACATATATTACCAAAATTGGGCACAATTACTTGTGCATAATTGGTTACCCAAGGCACCGCTCAATTTAGGGTAGGGATCATCTAATAAATTCATGATCATGAGAGGATGTAATATAGTCCATTGATTGTTAATAAGAATAAATTTTAATTCATATACTTTAAATATGGATTAGAATACTTACTTAAAATTCATAAATAATTATTGATACTATTTATTTTAGATATTTCAAACTTTTTTTTCTGTATAAAAAATTTATAGCTCTAACTATTCTTTAAAATTATCATCATTCACTTTATAGACACTTATGTTACCTTCTTATGCCAACGTGATCAACACTTTTAGATCATGTTATCACCACCTCTTGAAGTATGTTAATTTTGACTGACCTTCTCATCAATATAAACTTCATAGATTGTATTGGTCATCACCAGTTGATGTAGCACAAGAAGCATCAACAAGATGGACATGACCAACAACAAAAGCACAAAAACATATAAATAGTCACTATTAGACAAAGGCATAGAAAAGTGGCCAATTGAAGATGCCAATTTAAGTTTTGTTTTTTTATTTATTCTATTTTTCTATAAAAATTATATGAAGGGTAATGTTTTATTTGAATACTTAAAACCTTAAAAATAAAATTTTAAATTTCGAATAATGAATTTTTTGAAATCAAAACTTGAATTATAATTTAAAAAACTTAAAGCGTATGAAATTTTTTTTGAGGGGATGGCTTTTATAAAGAGTTAATAGTTTGAATACGCTAGCCATGAAAAAGAAAGGAAGTTCTAACCCCTTTATAACTACTTTAACCATCTTAAAGCTTGTGAGGGTTAACCCTATATCCTACATCTCTTTATGTTAAATTATAATAGTGTAAAACATTAAAGTATCAGTTTTAATAGGGTGCTAGAAATGTAAATAGTACAGGTACAAGTAGTTACAAGTGGTGAGGAGTAGTATATCTAAAAATCAACAAGTATATCATAGAAAGTGTAACTTAAAATAATACTCTAACAAATAGGCAATATAAACTAAACTAGAGCAAAAGTAACTTTTATGCAACAAGATAAAAAGTGCAGCTGCAACAATCTCACATAGATATATACAAGAAGTAACTAAATAGAGAAAGTCTCCATGTAAGATCTATAACAAAAAAGTAAACTTTACCTAGTGATCCTCCTCGTCCTCCTCGTCATCATCATGAATGTCCTCATCCATCAACTTATGACGTTCTTATGGAAAAAATCGAGGATAAGTTGGAAACTCAACTGAATGATCACCCTTCAAAAATTTCACTAATGAATCATCATAAGTCACATCGTAGTCACTCTTCATCTGCAGGTATTGTTCTACCTGATCATATTTATCTTCCATGTCTTGCATTTGACACTGTATCAAGAACAACTCGAAGTAGTGTTCCAAGTATCTCTCACTCATCACATCCCAAAAATTAGGAGGTGGAAAAATAGTACTGGAGGCAGAAGGTCTAGAGGAAGAAGTAGATGGAATGTTAGAAGTTATAACTCTAGATCTTCCATAAATATCCACATTAGCTATTCCAATAGGCTTTAGTGGCTTTAATTGTTCCTCCCAAGTCTCATATTTTACTCTAGAGTCCTTACATATAGTAAAAATAAGAAAGGAAACCCCAAACCTGTCGAAGAACTCGATCTACCAAAAGTGTAATTACCCTTGAATTTAAGAGAGCCAACATCATTGAGTTTCATCATCTGAATGCAATAGTTCAAGGTGGCTTCCTTACGAGTCACCTCGCTCAAGTGGTTCGATGGATTTAGTCAAGCAAAAATGAAGTTGTGTCATGCCTTTGATGATGAATTAAGCCAGGAAGAAGAAAAGTTTACCTTATGTTCATTCTTGATCTTCCCGACTGCACGCCCATTAGTAAGGTTTGTAATAATCTCATCAAGCTCAATCTCAGTAGGCTCAAACTCTGAATAAAATTTGTCTAGAGGAGGTAAACCATATAGCACATTAATCCACTTGGAGTGAACTAAACTCCACTCCCTCTAACAAATACCTCATGGTTGAAAGCCTCGAGTAAATTTGCATAGAATTCCCTCATGACAGAAATAACTTCTACAACAGTGAAGTAGCAAAATACGACCAATCAACGAGCAGCAATTAGGTGTTGTACTGCTCCACCAGGACTTGGAAAGCTCCGCTCTGCCATGAACTTTTGTGAAACTAACAAGCCATTGTATTTGTTCCGAGCCTTGCTATTCACAAATTTGGCGGTATCAAAAATTTCCCTCCCCTTTCCTCTCTTAATTTTAGGATCCGTGCTTCAAAGCTAAAAAAATTCCAAATAAATCATATATATAAGTTTTAAAGGCTCCTAAAAGTATTTTTCAAGAAAATGAAGCTTTCATCCATGGATTTTTCACCACAAATTCCAAAATTAGCAATTTTTTATCTCCACTCAATGTTGAAGAAATCCATGTTAAGAAAAAAAATTTCAACGCCAAAATATAGATCTAACCTGAGAAGATGAAATTCACTGTTTTTGGCCTCTAAAAGTTGAAGAATCTCGAACTAGGGGAAGCCCCTAAGTGTCACTTTCAAAAATTAGAGGAAGTTGAAGAAGAAGGGAGGTATTAAATGGTGATGGGTCAGCTTAAATTCTGATTTTTACCCTTATTGACTGGTTTAGTCGGTCTGGCGCCTAGTTGCCATATTCTAGAACCTAGGAGCCTTGCTGTGCAGATAGCTTGTGCTTAGAAGCCAGACCCAAATTTTTGAAAAATTCACTTTTAAGTGTGGCACAACAAACCTAAGGCCTCCAAATCGAAATTTACATTAATTTAACCATACCTTATTTATTGACTATCCCCCCAGCATCTTCCAACTTATATTTACTCCATTATAACTTCAGAACTCAATTCATTCCAACATTAAAACACACTAGAATTTTCACAAACTTAACACATTTTCATTACTAACAAACAAGTTTTAATACATCTGACATATCAAAGCAGTACAATAGATCAAACTGACAGTAATACAAATACTAAACTTCTCGTAGTACCGAACACCCCTTCGACTAGGGTCAACACATTAATTGCAATCACATACATATTTTACACATAAAATCCTCAGAAGCCCTTCCAATGATCAATGATTGTTGCCACCATTATCCACCACCTTTTTTATTGATATAAAGTTACAATTGTACAAGTGGTAGAAGGGAGCACGAGGATATTCTAAGGCAGTGACTCATTGTTCCACTGGTTATCAAGATACATATTTACTTGATAGTTTTGATAACCAGCCAAATAGTTCAATTGGTGTTTCATCTACAAGTACAAATGCTTGTACTATTGTACATGTCACATAGCTTGTTGGGTAAAATTCCTAACCCCTCTTCAATCTTCATTAGTTTGTCAATGATCCACTCTAAACTTAGTATTAGAATTCCATTGAAGTAAGGTTGAGCATCCCTAGACACTATCTTCTTCTCACTTGCACCACCGTTGCTTCCACTCTCCATTTGGGCAAGAAACATCAACTAAGAACTCAACTCCTCTCCAATTCTTCTTCTCTTAAACCAAAGTTCAAGGTTCTGACTTCAAGGACCGAGATTTTGAAGTTTTAATAGAAAATTTTAGGATAAAACCATTGTTGTTGGCTTTACCCACAAAATACAATGGTGGTGCCTAGGCACCAGATTATGCTGCTTAGGCCTCAGGCTTACCAAATTTTAATGCGTAGGAGCCAGTTTTGGCTCTTAGGCATCAAGTTTGGGGCTTAGGTACCAAGGTTGGCGTTTAGGTGATAGGTTTGACGCTAAGACGCTAGTGCTTAGTTAAACAATGTTTTGCCTTACGTCAAATTTTTTACGTCCTAATCTCGTTTAAGTCATCAAATTAGTGTATTTGTGCCTCCTCACATCTAGTAAGCCTCAATACTACATCATATAGTCCATAAAAACAAAAATCATAAATTAATCTACATAGATAACTATGTGTTGCCTTCCACAAAAATCATGATTTAACGTCGTTAGCCCGACATATCCAATGTTTTACTTAGGTTTACCAACATCAGGATCTATTCATGCAAAGGTTTGTTTTCATAAATGTAAGGTTTCAGGCAATGCTTGTTTACTTTATTTATTCATTCAGTCTTAGGATCTTTAATATCCACATCACCAAAATGATAGGTTTTTACCAAAATAAATGGCCTTG